TGGTATATTCTTGAGCCCACATGAATCGGTGGGGTCCTCATTGCATTGCGGGTGACCAAAGCGACGCCTGAGTCTCAGGAGAGCAGCTTACTAATAATAGGTATCTGGGCTCTAGTGTCTGACTATAAATCTCATAATAATCATAATAATAAGAAACTACTTGGCGACACAATTTTTCAGTGTTTCAGGGTATCGGGTTGAGGGTCGCAGGATGGTTCAGGGTTTCAGGATATTTTCAACAGCGACATCACGGAGGAATTGCAACAATCCACAGACTAACCACTGGATACAACAATCAAGTAGAGTTGCAAGATTGCATGGTGTCATCCACTCCCTCGCTGTCGTCGATGTCTTCCAGGATACGGCACTCCAGAAAAAGCTTCCGCAAGCGGTTCCGAAACTCTGCTATGATCCTTGGCAGCTGTGCAACGTCCACATCTTTCTCGAAATGCCGTAAAAAAGGCATGATTTCTGCCATGTAGTCTGCGCATAGCCCCACCATGACCAGCAGCCCAGGTCGCAACGATGCCAGTGTCTCATGACATTTCGACCTCGACGCCGACTCCGACCTCACATCGCCTGCAACCATGGCAAGCAGCAAAGCGATCGGCTGGACGAGGAAGCAAAACCGTCCTTGGATCAAGCAGCTTCACTGGTTGGCTGGGCTGTTTTATAAGTCGTATTTTTTTGACAACTGCATGAATAAACGTCTTGTTGGGCAAAGACCAGCTTCTGTGCGGCACCGAGCTGCTTTCCCAGCGTTGCTGGGCCCATGAAAAGTGTTTCAAGCCATGTTTCAGAACGCCGCCTAGCAGCTCGTCCTGTAGCATCCTTCGTGAGAGCGATGCGAGCTTGGATCTCCATTCATGGGAGTGCTGCAACATAGGCAGGGGGCCTTTGCAGCCAAAGAGTGCTTCGTAGGCGTTACTGTAGACCGTGAGGCCGTCGAGCGGGTTTTGTGCTGCCAGACGCAACATATGGGAACTATCCCTCCAGATAACAGCAATATTGCGGCAGTGCCTCCTTCTCAAGAGTTTCCCGACCTTCTGGGCATAGCTAGCGCCATCGGCACTGAACGAATGAATGCTGCAGAGGATGTGGGAGTACAGCTCTGCGTCCAAGGTATCGCTGTGCAACCTCGTACAGAATTCCTTGATTCCAGCCGCTATGCTGTCAGCTGCTAGCTGGGACTTGTCATTGTCCCAGGCCTCTGGGTCGTCTTCCAGCATCTTAGAAGGCTTTATGAGACACAAAATGCCCGAGCTGACCTCGCCCTTGCCACTGGCCGCTTTGAAGCGAACTAGCCGGAACGGTGACTTGTCGTCCACTGTCAGACTGATGGACGAGGCCTCGGCCAGCAACTTGCGTTTTCGACCGCGAATTGTCTCCTGAAGAATAGTGTGCATTTGCGCCACCGCACGATCTGTGATTGCAGATATGCATGCACGGGTGCTATGCACAAACTGGTCCGTCAAGGAGAGCCGCATCGCTGTTCGGCTGCTGAGGGACTCCTTGGCAGCGGCGAGTGCTTGCAACCAGTCCGATGGCTGCGGCACCGAACCTCGCAGTAATGCCAGGTCAGCATCCCTGTTTACTGGCAGTGTCTCCAAAGAAGCAGGCATAAAATAAAATCTGAAAGCGGCTTGGTGCACGGCACTCTCTGCATGCTTGCGTATGGCACAGGACTGCATTGATCGGGCGGACACAATACCATACTTGGCCCACTTGGTGAAAGTTCTTCGCGAATTCTGCTTCTGCTGGGCATCGAACATCTTCGACCTGACCATGAGGGCGGCACACAGACTGCAGCCAACCCCCCAAGTAGGGGTTTTCCGCTCACTCAGCCACACCACGCGTTCGTGGGCAGAAGCTGGGCTCTTGTGGCTGCCTGCTCCCAGCTTCCATGTCTTGCACCGTTGCCTGTAGATGGACATCGCATTCTGCGAAGTGTTTTCAGCTTTGCTAGCTATCAGCACCTTCAGGTTCTTCAGCTTCCCATCTGCAGTCCTCTTATTCTCTCCACTGCGGCTCGAGGAAGAACTCGAACCGGTTCCGCAACTCGACCCCGACGATGACACCGACTGTCCAGAAGCACTCTCACCACGTGTGTTTACAGTCACGAAGCTTTGGGGCCCCTGCAGTTGCAATCTGACTCTGGGTCTTGATTCCATGAATCGCTCACAGCGACAACGACGACGACTACGACCCCCTGAGATCCCAAACACCAGGGTCGACGAAGATATTAAGCACTTGTACAAGACTTGCACGGACAACAAATGACAAGCATGCTTCGCAGATGCTTCGCTGACACTCCGGATTGACACGCAAGCTCAGATCAGGTCTCACGTCACTCATTCAAAATAATTCAAGTCAGTGCAACCGAGCTCCCTGCTGAAGGCATGCCAGGTCTCCAGGACAATGAATCTGATGACCTGGGCAAAGTTGTGATACATTTGATTTGAACACTGACACAACCTTCGGCTTCGTTGAAGCTGGCTTGACGCTGCTAACCGGCTCAGACTAACAGTCTCTGCTTCCAGGACTATCGCACTCGTCACAGGTCACACACAGCTACTTGCACGAAGTCCTAAGCCTTATTCTCTGCTTCAATGACCACAGTACTAGGTGGCTCAGCTCAGGTCCCGGCATGCAGGTGCTTCAGTTCACAGCCTCAGACAGACAGCCGTTTGAAATAC